AGCAGGACTCTGGACAGCTACCTGTGATTTGTCACCAGCCAGGAAGGGATTTGAAAGGCAGTTTGTGGCGCTACTCCAAAAAAGAAACGGGAAGCTGGAGGTTCCCCTGGGGTGGCCATACAGGCTCTGAAGGAAAGCTCCATGCGCTTCCCTATTCCTCGGCAGCAGAATCAGACACGTGACTTCGCTTGCCAAAGGTGAAAACTGAAGCCTTGTCAAAAAATTGAAAGGTGCCCTGACTTGGATAGCCCAGGCAAGCCTGATCTCATCAGATCTCAGAAGCTAAGCAGGATTGACTCTGGCAAGTACTTGGATGGGAGACCTCCTTGGAATACCAGCAGTTGGGAGGTGGGGGCAGGCTTTATTCAGCCACCTCTTTGAATATCCTCTAGGCCCCCAGTAGGGGTCAGTCACCAGAAGTCACCATGACTTCCAAGTGCACACACACATACACACACACGCACATATAAAAATACAAAAAAAGTATTTGGTGGGGTGTGGGCTTTTGTGGGTCATTGCTCTCTTCTTCAGATACCTGGGGGGCTGAGCACTGACTCACGGGGGCTCGTGCCCTGCCACATAATAAATAAATAAATAAAAACATTTTTGAAAGGCAAGTTGGGTGCACATATAAAAATACAAAAAAAGTATTTGGTGGGGTGTGGGCTTTTGTGGGTCATTGCTCTCTTCTTCAGATACCTGGGGGGCTGAGCACTGACTCACGGGGGCTCGTGCCCTGCCACATAATAAATAAATAAATAAAAACATTTTTGAGAGGCAAGTTGGGTGGGGTTTTTTGGTCACTCTCTGTAGCCAGCTTCTCCCGGGGAGCTAATACTCCATTTTCCCAAGGGAGTATTGGTGGATGCCATGGCAGGCTTTTCTCAGCTGAAGCGACAGTCTAGCAGGCTACGGTTGGTATTGCTGCTGTTGGTTTCATCCGCCTTTTTTTAAACGTAGTCAAGTCCTGTTGCAGATTTGCTCAGGAATGAACTTGGCTGATCCCAATGTCTCCAGGCAGGGAAGCACTTGGACAATATGTACGTTATACTAAAATGTCTAAAGTTCTTTGACGAAGCCAACACAAATTCCCTTTGGGTGCCTCAAAGGTGGATCCTGCAATTTGCAAATTGGACACCTTACGTCAAACCAGAGTCTGAAACTATGTTTTGAAGCTGGTTTACTAACAGCAGTCAGTTTCAGCCATGGTACTGCATGACATGCGGATTGTGGCTTGTCCCCCGACGTTGCTCTTGCCATAGTGTGTAGGCTGGGTTACCAGCTGGATCTCCGCAAGGGAAGAACAAAGCAATGAAACTAGCATTTGTCAAGGCCAGCCAGGGTTCAAACGATCACATGTAAGCTGAATCCTGGTTTTATGAACTAAATGTAGTTAATGCACACCATGGTTTTGCATTAAATCCGTGCTGAGCCAAGTTTCCGAGCATAGCTTTGTACTCAGAAGAGCTGCAATTTTTTTTTTTTCCTTTTTAAGAAAAATGAAAGCAGAGAAACTTGGGAAATGAAAGTCTTCATCCCCTACAAAACAGCAGCCTACACACAGGCTTGGCAATATTACCTAGATTTGCTTAGATTTAAAAACAAAACAAATCCCTCACCTCCAGGTTACCAGCCAAGCCACTGGGCTGTTGACAAGTTTCCAAGGGAAAAGAGATGTGCCACGGTGTTCTGGCAGCCACCAAGATAATCACTCATTATGCTCATGGAGCCTTCTATTCTGTCCTTTAAAAGCAAGCCAGCAGACCAACACTTTGTGCCACGAACAGCGGGATCTTGAATGTCACAATATGTAATTACGTGATGGAAGCCAAAATGGCATTGAAAGTTGGGAACGGTGTCTCAAAGCGTTTCGGAGAATTCTGATAGCGTCGGGTTTGCCCCTTTTACATCACAGTCATGTTGGTTACCTGCTTCGTTGTGTTTTTTTTAAAGATACCTGAAGTACCTCACTAAGAAATACCTGAAGAAGAACAACTTGCGCGACTGGCTCCGTGTGGTCGCCAACAGCAAGGAAAGCTATGAGCTGCGTTACTTCCAGATTAACCAAGATGAAGAGGAGGAGGAGGAGGAAGATTAAATGCACAGGGATCTGGAGATAGTTTTGTACATTTGGTTTTCCTTAAATAAAATGTGAGCTAATTTTTTCCCTTTTTTTTGGGGCTTCCCCCCCCCCCCCCCAGCTGTGCTCTAGACCTCATAGTGATTCAGCAAATGACACGGGGAAGTCTTAATATGTGTCTGTATCAAAATATTACATGGCCCTTCCCTCTTCAATGTAACAGTGCCATGTGGAGGGGGCTTCTCAAGTGGGCCAATAGTGGCCCACTTGTGGGGGCGTTCAGGGGGTGTTAGTGTACAGGGTGGCAGAGGACTATTAATGTGGGCTCCCGAAGATAAGGGCAGGTGTGCTTAATGGGGGATGAATGGGGGATTCTTTTTAAGAAGGTCCCAAGTGCAAAAATCAACAAGTGACTTTTCTCAGGTCATTTGTTATCACTAAAGCTGCCTTCTAATTCTTTATCTTCCCCTGTGAGAATTCTGTATTTATTTATTTCGGCTTACGTGACCATAGGTCTCAAGGTAAAGGTTCCCTTGCTCGAAAGCCAGTCAAGTCCGACTCTAGGGTTGCGGTGCTCATCTCTGTTTCAAAGCTGAAGAGCCAGCGCTGTCCGAAGACGTTTCCGTGGTCATGTGGCCGGCATGACTAAACACCAAGGCGCACGGAACGCTGTTACCTTGTCTCAAGCACATGTATAAAATACAGTTTATGTTTAAACATCAAAACAAAGTTAAAACAGTGAGCTTCTCCAAATCAGTAGGATATAATCAGTATAAAACATTCCGAACATATTTTTTAAAATAGTTAAGATAAATAAATATAAGCTTTTCAATGGTATCCACTCTTTACGCTTCAATGCTATTATAGTTGCTAAATCCCTTGCTACTGAAGCCGTAATTTCGGCTTCGTATCTGTCAGCAAATAAGAAATCACCCATGACTCAAGTGGAAGATGGTATTTTGTTAAAACAGGCAGTATCCAATAAGACCTAGGAGCTATCCAGTGGGAACAAAACAGAAGGAGGTATGTCAACGTCTCAATCTCACCGGATGCGCATGTGCAAGCTCTATCTGAATAGGAAAGGCATGCAAAACGACCTGTTAACTCTGCAGACAGTACAACGGTGTAGCAAGAGTAAAAGCAATTCTATGGGAAGGGAGGTCCATCAGTGGCTATTAGCAGAGGTCCATCAGTGGCTATTAGCCACAAGGTATAGATAGGGGCTCTGGGGCAAGTGATGCTTTGTCTTCTTGGTGCTTGGGGGGGGGGTCAACAGTGGGAGGGCTTCTAATGTCCTGGCCCCACTGGTGGACCTCCTGATGGCACTGGTATTTCTGGCCACTGTGTGACACAGAGTGTTGGACTGGATGGGCCTTTGGCCTGATCCAACATTGGCATCTCGTTCTTATGAGGGTAAGATGGTTTAAATATGATGGAAGAGTCAATGAGGGAATTCCCAACGCTATTGGTTGGCAAGAGCACCATCTGCTGTTGGGATGGTTTCACGGTCTCTTGGATCAGTTTTCACCTTTGCTTTCCCGCTGCTGTGTTAGTGCAGCAGACCAGTTGAGGATGCAAGCAGGAAAGTCAGATCTCCCCGTTCAGATCTTCCCTCCGCCACAAACTCACTTTGGCGGCTTCTCCCTCTGCTCCAACCCATCCTTTTAGGCTCATCGCAAGGATTACTGAGTTGATGCTTTGACCACTCAAAGTGGCACAGAGAAGGGAATCCTCTACACATTTGTTTTACATCCTGTTTAGATTTTGATTGGGGCCAGTGAATGCATCACCAGATCAGCAGGGTTGCCAGCCTGAGTAGTCAGTTTGTATGCCTTGAAAAATGTGCACAGATCCACTTGTGCTGCTCCTCTCAGTCTCTCCTGAGTCCACCAGCATTATCCTCTCTAATGACAGGCATGGTTTCATTACAGTAGCACAAGAAAGATGCATATGGATAAACATATGGAGCAGAGGCCCATCAGTTGTGGATAAACATATAGAGCAGAGGTCCATCAGTGGCTACTAGCCACAAGGTATAGGTAGGAACTCTCAGTCTAGGGCAAGTGATGCTCTGTATTCTTGGTGCTTGGGGGGGGAGCAACAGTGGGAGGGCTTCTAGTGTCCTGGCCCCACTGCTGGACCTCCTGATTGCACCTGGTATTTTTGGCCACTGTGTGACAGGGTGTTGGACTGGATGGGCCATTGGCCTGATCCAGCATTGGCTTCTCTTATGTTCTTATGTGCTGGTTAAAAGGCTCGACAGCTCTCTTTTCGGGGAGCTGAAGCCTCATTTTGCTTACCACAATTTGCGGGTTCTATTCAGATTTGAAAGTTCTGATCTAGCTCAGAAAAAAACAAGCTTTGTGTTGATTCAAGTTCGGTCTGATTCCCTGTTTCTATAACTGAGCCAGAACAGTTAGACCCGAGAGCCTTCTTTGAGCAGCTGCTGTCCAGTGTCCACCTACAAACCTGCCAGAAGCTATCCTTGTGTAGCAGTCTTTCTTCCACCACTGCTCTTGTAGTCTCTTTTTGCTGTCTGCCAGGTTTGTCAATCACCTGTAGGAGACAGACTCTCACAGCCTTGCACATCGCCGGAGAAAGATTGCTTTCTCCCAGGAGGACATGGGCTGCATTGCTGTTTTTCAGACAAACGGGCCCTAATCTCAAACTCCTTCCCCAAAGTTGCCTCACCTGTGGATGTTTAAACATAAGAACATAAGAGATGTTGGATCAGGCCAAAGGCCCATCCAGTCCAACACACTGTATCACACAGTGGCCAGAAATACCAGTGCCATCCGGAGGTCCACCAGTGGGGCCAGGACATTAGAAGCCATCCCACTGGGGATCATGTCTCAAAGGGATCATGTCCCTAGGGATCATGTCTCAAAGACTTCTTGCTGCATAGGATTCTCAAGGCGGTTTCTATGCTGACAGAACCAAGTATGTCATAAGCACTGAAAGGATGCTGCATAGCAAAAAACATCCCTCTCTTAAGCTCCCTCCGAAACAGTCAAAACTTCCAAATACCACCTGTCTGCTATGTCTTTTCCTATGTTTGCACATCTGGCCATCACATGGTGGGGAAGAAAGATTTTGCCAGCAGCCATTTTTTGGATATTTTGTACATGTATTCTATAATATGTGTATGTCTGTAAAGGGAGTGGCACTCCACTGCTACCCACTTTTAAAAAGATCAATTTTAGTTCCCATTTTAAAAGCCAAGATATCAGGAAGCATTGACCAAGAAGGGCTGATGGACTGACCCATATTTGGTTTTCCAGGCTCAGATATGTGGGCTCTGACCCTAGGGATCATGTCTCAAGTGATGCTTCCAGGGATGGAGTTGCACATGGTACTTTTTTTAAAATGCTGAAACACTTGACATTGGAGAAAGAACCTCAGAAGAGCCCTGCTGGATCAGGTGGTCCATCTAGACCAGCATCTGTCGGCCAACAGATAGGGCATAGACAGAGCATTTGGCGGCCAACAAATAGGGCATAGCCCTCCTGATGTTGCCTTCTAGCTCCGGCATTTCAGAGGTTAAGTGCCTCTGAATGTGGAGGTTCCCCTTAGTTACCGTAACCAGCAGCTATGGATGGACTGATTCTCCTTGAATCTGCCTTACGTGGCTATCTTCATTGGCACTGAATCCCACAATTGAATTTCTCTCTCAACGGAGAGACATTTCTTTTCAGCTGTTCTGAATTGTGCACCCCAGTATTGCGGAAGAAGAAGAAAAAGCTTCAGGGGCACTTCCTGGCAATGTTCCCTCTAAGTGGTGGGGTCTTGTGAGCAGAAATTCTACTTTGTGAGCTACTGGCATTAAAGTTGTGAGCGAGCAATATGGCTACTGCATAAATTAGCTTGCTCTGGAGCCATCCCTTCCTGAGCTAAGACAAAAACCGTGTGAGCTGGAGGCTGAAAAACTGTGAGCTAGCTCACACTAACTCAGCTTAGAGGGAACACTGCTTCCTGGTATGTATTAAGAACCCTTTGCAAGGGAGAAAGCAGCTGAGAGCATAACAAAGGGCAGTATGTCCTTGGGATGGGGGGGGGGATTTAAGCTCGGGGCTGCAGGTAGAGTGGGTTCCCCCCAGCCATGCAGGTGTGCTGGGGTGACCTGTGGCCACCGGCTCTTCCTCTGCCTGAGCCACCTGTCAGAAGCCACCGGGAAGAACAGCCGCTGCCACCACCGCCCTTGTTGGGATGCAAACCTGGATCAGGAGATCCGCTCCCACCCACCCCACCCCACCCCTTAACTCCTCTGCTTTTGCGCCTGCAGAATCCCTCCAAGGAGCATCTTGGCCCAAGTTGGGCAAGTGTTTGGAGGGGGGAGCCGGGCTGCGCGCGCGCGCGGGCACGCCTCAAAAAAAAAAAAAAAAAAAAAGGCCCGGTGCCCAAATGATGGGATGCGGTTGCCAAGGTAACCAGACTGGACGTCACCGCGCTTGGGCATGTGCGGTTCCATTCCGGGAGGGTGCGAGGCGGCTGGGCTGCGCTGTGGCGGCGGCTGCTGCTGCTGCTGATCGGGCCGGCAAGGCGGGAAGGCGGGCTGGACGGCGGGCCAGGGTCGCCCCGGCAGCCCCCTTGTCCAGCCAGCCCCAGGCGGGCCGCCGCCGCAGCCATCTTCGCGCCGAGCAGCCTCGCCCTCCGCAGCGCAACGTGCGCCCCGGGCCAAGGCTGGCGCCACTCGGCGGGGAGGAGCGCTGAGCATTGGTGGGGGTGGGGTCCGGGGGGGGGCTGCCGCTCCCTTCCTCCCTCCTCCCGGCATAAAAAAGGACCTGGGAGGGGGGGCCATTCGGAGGATGACAAAGCCTCCCCCCCCTCGTTTTCTTCTCCAAGGAACCCGGGCCTCCAAAGGCAAGCGCTGCCTTTCTGCAGCTCACCCTGGTGGGCCCCATATCTGCATCCAGACAGTAGCTTCGGGATTGGCCCCAGTGCCTTGGCATATGGGGATAGACTGCTTCTGAACAAGGAGGTTCTCTTCTTAGTCTTCCCTTCCATGCTTTTGCCAGCTGGGAAATTGCCTTCGGAATTTGCCTTTGTCGGTGAGCAGAGGTGGGTCCATCTAGCCTGGGGTAGCTG